AGGAGGAGGAGGAGGAGGAGGAGGAGGAGGAGGAGGAGGAGGAGGAGGAAGAGGAAGAGGAGGAAGAAGAAGAGGAGGAGGAAGAAGAAGCAGCAGCAGCAGAAGCAGAAGAAGAAGAAAGAAGAAGAAAGAGGAAGCAGGTGGAAGAAGAAGAATGAAGAAGAAGGAAGGAGGAAGAGGAAGGAGAAAGGAGGAAGGAAGAAGGAGGAAGGAGGAGGAAGAGGGGCAGCAGCAGCACCAGAGTGCTCTGATACTCTTATTCTCTCCTGTCTTTCTCTCACTCTCTCCTTCCACCCTTGACCTTGTGAGGACTGAGAGAAGGAAGTCACTGCATACCAGGAAGAGAGCCTCACCAGGAGCCAAAGCTGCTAGCACCTTCCTCTTGAATTTGCTAGCCTTCACAACTATAAGAAATAAATCTCTATGGTATTCCGCAGCTCAAGCTGAGTAACACACATACTCAGTACCATTAGTCATTAGGGAAATAAATTTAAAACTACAATGTGATACCACTGTACTTTCTAGAATGGCTAAAATGGAAAAGACAGACAATACCAAGTGTTGACGAGAATGTGGAGCAACTGGAACTCTCATACCTTGCTGGTGGAAATGCAAATAGTAAATTTACGTTGGAATACAGTTGACAGTTTCTCTCTCCTTCTTTCCTTCCTTCCCTTCTTTCCTTCCCTCCGTCCTTCTCTCCTTCCTTCTTCCCTCCCTCCTTCCTTTGTGCAAAGTCTTGCTCTGTTGCCCAGGCTGAAGTGACATGATTTTAGCTCACTGCAACTTTTACCTCCCAGGTTCAAGTGATTCTCCTGCCTCAGCCTCCCAAGTAGCTGGGATTACAGGTGCCACCACCATACCTGGCTAATTTTTATATTTTTCATAGAGACGGTGTTTCACCATGTTAGATGTTGGCCAGGCTGGTCTCAAACTCCTGACCTCAGGTGATCTGCCTGCCTCAGCCTCCCAAAATGCTGGGATTACAGGCATGAGCCACTGCACTCCACCTAGTTGGCAGTTTCTTATAAAGTAAAACATACACTAATATAATTAATAATGACCCAGCCACATTAGTTTTAGATACTTACACAGGAAAAATGAAAACTTAGGCCCACGCCAAGACTTGAACATGAATACCAATTCCACTCATAAAAACCAAACCCAAAAAGAATCCCAAAGGGCCATCAACTGGCAAATGCATACACAAACTGCAGTGCACCCATGTAGTAATGCTGCACTAAAGGCATGGATTGTTGATACAAGAAACAGCGGTCCCCAGGACCCTGGCAAGTTCCCAGAATCCCTCCCAGATATACTCTTTTTTTTTTTTTTTTTTTTTTAGACAGAGTCTTGCTCTGTTGCCAAGGCTGGAGTGCAGTGGTACAGTCTTGGCTCACTACAACCTCTGCCTCCCAGGTTCAAGCGATTCTCCTGCCTCAGTCTCCCGAGTAGCTGGGATTGCAGGTGCCCACCACCACACCCAGCTAGTTTTTGTATTTTTAGTAGAAACGGGATTTCACCATGTTGGCCAGGCTGGTCTCGAACTCCTGACCTCGTGATCTGCCCACCTCAGCCTCCTAAAGTGCTGGGATTACAGGCATGAGCCACCGCATCTGGCCAGCAATACTTTTATTAAAATAAACTGAGCAAGGCCAGGCAGCTCAAAATGATCCACACGAGGGGGTTCAAAGATAATCCGACAATGGAGACAGGAGATGGGGTGGGAGGGAAGCGGGTCACAAATGCACAGAGAACAGTGGGACTGTGGGAGGACCCCTGCGGCCTCGGGCCCTCCAGCTGGGCTGGCAGGCAGGCCGTGGGCTCTGGGGGCGATGAGGGTCAATTCGGGGCTCCCTGGGGCGTTGCACCCCTGTGTGCATTCTGCCTGTGTTTGCAGAACAGCCCGTACAGCACCCGCAGCGTGCTCTTGGCGTCCTTGTTCACAATGTCTGCAGGCCAGAGGAGGGCAGGGCAGCTGGTCAGGCCTGGGTGGCGGTGACCCACCGTCCCAGAGTGCCCCGCACTGAGGGGTTTCCTGGCATTCAGGATTTCAGTGCAAACACCAGGAGAATCCCTGGAAGCCAGGACAGCTGGTCACTCCAGGCCTGAGTCCGGAGCCCGCTGCATGACCTGCCACCTCCTCCTGGCCAGTCCTCCCCTGAGCCCTCCTGGGGTGCCCCCAACACAGCAACTCCTCAAGGTCTGGCTTCTCTGGACAGCCTGTCCCCAGAGACCTTGGTCTCCCCTCCCCGGGACCTCTCCCCTGGTGCTGCAGTGCCCCCACCCAGGAAACCTTGGCAAGTGCCCATTCTCCACTCCGGTCAGGCAAGAAGGCTGCCAATGCATGCTCATCCCTCAACGCCCTGCATCCTGTTCTATGTCTCCCGCACAAGGCTGCCACACGGGGCTGACCACTGTGTGGGCATCTGCCATGCACTCACCTTCAGGGCTGACGGGGCAGCTAAGCAGACCCTCCTCCTTCAGCAGCTCCAGCGCTAGGGTGACGTTGTGCAGCTGTGGTGACAAGTCCCCATCAGATGTGGGCACAAGAATCATCCCCAGCCCAGGCCCTGCGTCCCAAGTGCCAAGTCTTTCCTGTTGTCTGTGATGTCCGTCACGAGCCCAAACTCCCATCCAAGGTGGGTATCCCTGACCGCAACCACAATCCATGCTCATTCAGCATCTCCCTACAGCCCCCACGGATGGGGAGCTCTCTCCATCACACAAGACATGCACACCTCATTCCTCAGCCACTCACAGGCCCCACCCTGAGCAGGTGCTATACCGCACTGGGCACACACGTGCCCAGGGGCCACAGTCAGTGAAAAAGGCAATCACCAAGGATGATACCCAGTAGGAATCAAGGAAGGCTTCCTGGTAGAGGTGACACCCAGTGGTGCATCCTACCAGGCAAGGAGAACTACCCAGGGAAAGGAGCAAGGGCCCAGGGGTGGCAAAGCCCCTTCGAGAATAGCCATTTCCCAGGGCAAAGCACAGTGAGGAAACTGAGGCTCGGAGGAGTGAAGGGGCTCACTGAAGCTCATGAGACACAAAGTGCTGGAACCAGGTCTGTCCACTCCAACGCCCATGCAAAGCGGGCTAGAGACTTGAGCGGCCCCCACCCGGGTGGCTGTCCTTCCAGCCATCCCTTGCCTGGGCTGCAGTCTCAGACACAGCTCCCTTTAGGGTGGAGGGCTTCCGGGCATCTGTCAGGTCCCTGAGGGGTTCAGAGCCCAGCACAGTCCCCGCCCAGGGCCTCCCCTTGCTCACCTGCAAAGCGGGCTACCATGGTTCCCATGTGCCTTGCTACAGGATGCAGTGAGACGCCAGGAGCCCTGCCGGCCCTCCTGCAGTGGGTCCCTTTCCATTCTAGCTTCTCCCTTGGGCCTCAGGTACAACCACAGTAGACCCCAGCCCTTTGCCTGAGAGCAGCAGCCTGGTGTGGGTGAAGAGGGACGAGCTCCTGGTTCACTGTGTGACTTCAAACAGGTCCTCTCTTCAACGCCTTAGCCACCCGTAGATGCACAGTAGGCCTGGACATCCCAGTCCAGGGGTCAGCCATGCCTGGTCCCATTCCCTCCGTATCTGCCTGGCCATGCCGGCCCCCTCAGCCGGGGCAGTTCCCATGGCAACCCAGCTAGGGGCCAAAAGGCCAGGTTGGCTGAGCGTTGGGTAAGCAAGGCCAGGCAAGACTCATTAGGAAATGCCAGCCCGGCCCAGGCCACCTCCAGCCACCTTGTAGGGGGCCGCAGCAACAGGACTCTTGGGATCTAGCGTGGCTGTCTGTGTACCGCCACCCCCATCCCACCACTAAGTGTCTGGCCTCAGACAAGTCACACATCCTGGCTGGGCCTCGGCTGCCTCATCTGTGTCATGGGGATGATGCATCTGTCAGCCTCCCTCTCCAAGGCTGGCATGTGTGTCCAATGTGATGACAGGCACTGAATTGAAGCCTCAAAGCAAGATTTGAAGGTGAAGATGATGAAGGCACAGGAGCTGGACGTGGGTGAGCAGAGTCCTTCTCCACGTGGGGATACGAATATGGAAGGCGGGTCCCAGACGGAAAGGAGCATATGGGCGGGGCACCCAGCAACAGCAGGGCCGCTCCTCTATAGTCAGTCGGTCACAAGAGGAAACAGGCGAGGCACGGTACCTCACGCCTGTCATCCCAGCACTTTGGGAGGCCAAAGTGGGCAGATCACTTGAGGTCAGGAGTTCGAGACCAGCTTGGCCAACATGGTGAAACCTCATCTCTACTAAAAATACAAAAATTGGCCAGGCATGGTGACATGTGTCTCTAATCCCAGCTACCTGGAAGGCTGAGGCAAGAAAATCGCTAGAACCTGGGAAGCGGAGGTTGCAGTGAGCCGAGATCGCACCACTGCACTCCAGCCTGGGAGACAAGAGTGAAACTCAATCTCAAAAAAAAAAAGAGAGCTGAAGAAACAAAGGCCCAGTGCCCATGCTGCAGGCACCAGTGCCACTGAGAGTTCCCGTCACTGTGTCCCCAGTTCCTCCCCCTACACTGGAATATTCTGGAAAACTAGGGTTGCAGTTGTTGCTGTTGACGTTCTCGTCATGAGTATTATTTGCAGTTACACTGAGTGAATGTTGGAGAACAAGATCCCGAGGACCCTGAGGTTCTGCACTCCACACTGTGCTCTCCTGCCTCAAAGCCCCGCCTTTGATAGACTCAGTCAGCCGGCATCTCCCAACGTGTGATCTAGGATGGACAGCAAAGGGAATATCTGTGGCCAAACATTTTTGGAAACTGTTGGGTTAAATAAAATAACATGGAATTCCTTAGCTGCAGGACTTATCAGAGCCTTGAACGTGTTAGTGGGTCTTACAAAGCTTCAAGAATAGGCATGTTATTTATTCAAAGAACCCATGTGTCTCAGTGTTTTGGAAACACTGTTCATTTACTTATCTAAAAAATATTTGTCATCTACTATGTGCTGGCCATGCAGGTGGTGCCCAGGACAGACCAGACCCCTGCCCTCATGGAGCTTACGCTTTGGAAATTGCCATCAACACTGAAAGCTATGACATCGGCTTCTGTTTGTCACATTCTTCCTCAATGACACTCACTGTGAACAAAAGATCCTCTCCCAGAAGAGCTGACCCTGGCTCCAGAGCTATCTCACCCTGTTCTGCCCAAAGATTTTTCCTCTGTGTGCAATTTGAGATGATGAAGATAAAACTATGCTCTTCCCTGGAGCCAAGGGAAGGTTGCAACCCTGGAGGATGAATTCAAATGCTCCTGGGGAAAAGTAACGGAATACAGAAGGACGCCAAGTATTCCTGGCTCCAGGGATTTGATTTCTGGAAGCAAAGGATCCCCTCTCTCCCTCCATCCCTAACTTCTCTGCCCAGAATGAATGACTATATCCCATAAACACCATCGGCAAAGAAGGTCTGATAATGAGAAATCCAATTTCAAGAGGCCACTCTGCCAAGGTGAGGATCCTGCAGGTGGCCCACCTTCCGCAAGGGCTGCTACGCCCGCCCTCCTCAGCTAACGACCTCTTCAGCATTCTGATTCCACATTCCTGCGGCAGAGATTGCCCACAATATGCTGTAAAAATTCATTCAAGAGGCTGCTGCTCTTCCCCCACATCTAATCTGACTCATATTCAGAAGCAGGTTCTAAAATCAGTGGATTCAGCAAAGCAGCTGCACACGGCGACATGGAAGTCTGCATGTTTGTTCCCGGCTTGTAACTGGGGCTTAGACAGAGGCCTTGCAGGCACGGGCACCCCAGGGCGGCTCTGAGCTGGGTTCTGAGCGCCAGGCCCTCAGCCCGCAGGTGGTCCTGCCTGCCTCTCCCTCACCGCACACACCTCAGTGCCTTGCCTTCCCAAGCCAGGCTCTGACCCCACTCTCAGCCTTGGCTTCAACCCCCTGAGCCCTGGCACCCCTTCCTCTCCCAAGGGGCTCGGGCTGGCTCCACAGGAGAGCAACAGGGAGGACCCTAACTCGCTGTGTGCTCTGGGCCATACATCCATGCCTCTCTCAACTGTTTTCTCTGTGGAAATAAGGATGGGAAGAGTTCCTAACTCCAAGACCCAATGCGAGGATTTGCTAGCACGTTCGTCCATGCTGCCTGCGGGTGATTCCCCCCACCGGCCCAATTCTGCACCCACATGCTTTGCTGGGCAGACCCGCGTCACCACCAAGGCCACAGGGCCTGCTCCAAAGTGGCGGCCCGCCCATTCCACGCAAGGGCCTCCTGCCTCCTGCCTGGTCTCTCGTGTGTCTGCCGTTGCCAGGAGGAAAGTATGCCCAGGTCAGTCGCTGGTCCCAGGAGGAGCGTGGCAGGCTGTGTGTGGCACAGAGCCGAGCCACCCAGCCACGGCAGCTCCCCATCCAGTCCACGGAGGAGTGACAAAGCCCAGCTGAGCCTCCAGCAGCTAAACTCAGCTGACTTGCTGGTCCGTGGGAAGAAATGAGCATGGTTTTCAGGCCCTGGGTTTTTGGGCGGTCTGTTAGGCAGCACGTTTGTGGCAACGGCTGGCTGATGTGGCACCTCCGAATGGAAGAACCTAAGAAGCAGCTGCCACTGTGCCTGCCACAACCACCGGGACGGTAGACACTGGCTGCTACGGCCCCATTGCTCTGACCCAACATCCCAGCTCTTGGGAACCAAGTCAGAGCACCCTGGCCTCCAGGAAAGGTGGACGCCACACCACTCAAGACGCATTCCTGTGGGGTGGAGGGACATGGCAGGCTGTGGGCAGCAGGCCCGTCCTGGTGTGAGGCTGCCACTGAGCACCAAGGTGGTCCTGGTTAAGCCTCTCCGCCCTGGGCTCCCCTCTGTGAAATGGAGATGCAACCCTGCCCCGCCCTCGCAGGGGCATGGAGGGAGGGTGATGGGGGAGAGGGCCAGAGACGCAATGTGCAGGGAGCTAACCCCAAAGGAGTGTGGACCGTGGTTCAGGGCCCCACAGAGCGCCGGGGGACTGCAGAGGAGCTGAGAAGGTGGGCAGAGCTGGCCGCCCGCCCAGGAAAAAAGGTGGGAAGCAAAGCAGGGGTTGGCAGGGCTGAGAGCACCGCCTGGGTGGATGCGAGGGAATGGAGGAGGGCCAGGCCCTGGGGAGCTGGAAGCGGGGCCAGGGGTCACGTGGCTGTGGCACACGGCTGTGGCTGGGAGTCGGCAGGACGGGAGGAGGGGACATAGCCGGGGAGGTAGATGGGGCTTGGCAGGTGGGTGCTACACTTGAAGCCGGGAAGAGGCCTGGGGCAGGAGTGCAGGAGGGGCCAAGGGGAGGGGCCTGGGAGAAGGGACCAGGTAGAGGGGGAGTCTGGTAGGGGCCCAGCGGGGACCTCACCTGCTACTGGGCCCCAGATAGGCCAAGAGGCCTGATCCAGTGCCAGGGACGCCCTGGGCATGTGAAAGGGACCAAAAAAAAAAAAAAAAAAGCCTGTGTCTCCCTCAGAAGTGGCCCCAAAGGCTGGCCCTGGGCATGCAGCCTTGCCTTATGTTTTACCTCTTTAGAAAAAGCTACTGCTACAGAGAGATAAAGAGATTCTCCCGTCCTGGGCCACTGGCATGGACAGAGATAAGCTGGCCGCCCGGGATCCTGGGCACGCCACCAGCCACCAGCCCTCCAGCCTGTCCATTGGAGGTACGGATGGAGGCTGCACACCTCCAATGTCACCTCCTGGAGGGGGCGAGGCTGGGGGGACTAGGGACCACACGTCCCTCAATGCTTCCTCCTTGATGGTTCTCCAAACTTTTTCTTACTACCTGTGTGTCCTGGGTGGGGGGCAGAGATTGTCAGCCCGTTTCAGAGACAGAAAACCTGAGGCCCAGGCAGGCAGGAGCTGGTGGTGGAGAGCCTAAGACCCAGGTCTCTCGCCTCGCAGTGACCCAGGGTAAGCCTCGGCCCCCGACCATGGACCTCTGTTTCCTTACTTGGAAAATAGTGCAAATCCCTTCTCATGGGCCAGGTCTACCAGAGGGAGGGCATTCCTGGCAGGGGAGGAGCCTGTGCCAATGCCCAGAGGTGGGAGAGCCCAGTGAGCTGAAGGAAGTGGTGGGGGTGGAGGCAGGGCCAGCCAGCGGGCACTGAAGGCTGCAGCTGGGGACGAGGTGGTGGGAGCTACGAGTTTGCAAGCTCGCCTGCCCTGCCACCTTACCTCAATGTCCGTCAGCTTCATCACTCTCTCCAGCCCTCTTCCCCAAGTCTGGCCTCAGCCCTGGTGCCTGCATGCAGGCAGCCAGCTCCTAGCCACCCCACCAGCCTCCAGGGTCCATATGGGAACTCCTGATCCCCCCAGCTCAGGCCCCACCCTTCTAGCTCCTGCAGCCGGAGGGAAGCACCGACACTTCGCTGACCCATCCCTGTTCATGCCCCACTCTGAGGCTTTGCTGATGCTGTTCCCTCCCCTTTGGGAGCCCTTCCTCAATAACTCTGCAAACCAATCCCTAATCAGCCTCCCGGCTCACCTCTGAGCCAATGCCCTTCTGGACTCCTTGAGATTATACTAAGCTCTCATTCTTCCAGTCCCCTCCTCTGACCCATGCATCTGAACCAACACATTTCGATGTGGTCCTGCAAGAGCACACATCACTGGGAGAACAGTGGGCATAGACGGAGAGGTCCCTGAAAGCAGGAGCTGTGTTGGATCATCTTAATGTCCTATGCAGCTCAGGGCTGGCACTAAGCAGGCCCTCAGGGAATGAGGGAACACGTGTGTGGGTAGGAGATGGGTAGATGAGCAGGTGGGTGGATGGGCAGGCAGGTGTATGGATAGATTGCGTGCATAAATCAACAGGATGGGAAGATGGATTGGAAGACAGCCAAATGGATGTATGAATGGAGAAGCAGGTGAATGGACAGGTAGGCAAGTGGATGGATGAATGGATGGATGGCCAGAAAGACATATAGATAAACAAGCTTCCTGTGCGTGGGTAGACAGGCAGGCAGGTAGATGGACAGGTGGGTGGGTGGGTGGATGGATGGATGGATGGACGGATGGATGGATAAATGGATAGGTGGATGGGTGGATGGATGGATGGACAGGTAGACATAGATAAACAAGCTTCCCTTACACCCTTCACTTTACCTGGAACTGAATAAACACACGTGTCATGCCATTTCTGTTTATCTGTTCACCCAGAGGTAGACAATCAAGAAGAATCTTTGGAGAACTTACCATTTCTGCAGGAGAGTTGGGCGTGAGGTAGAATTCCTTTAAGTGCAGGAAGAAGCCTTCAAGTTGTCCAATCAGCAAGAGTAAGATGACCCCATCTGCAAACTACAAAGGAAGGAACAAGAGGCCATCATGTGGAAGAAGCCTGGGGACACCCACTCTGTCTTTTACAGGCTGTGTGGTCCTAAGGAAATCACACAACTTCTCTGAGCCTCTGGTTCCTTGGTGAGAAGTGGGGAAGACTTTCCTGACCTCACAGGGTTGGAGGTAAAATGCGGTTTCAGGCTGCCTGGTACCTAGTGTGTATGCTCAGTAAAAAGAGTGCTTCCTAAACTTGCTGTAGAATAGCGTCATGCCAGTTTTTAAACACCACGCTGTTCCACAAGCTACAGAAACACAGGAAAACAGAGTTACATGCAAAACTATTCCATCAGGGAAAAGCAGAGAGCGGCACACAGGGCCCATCTTGCCAGCTGCCGTATTAATATTTCTGTCTGTTCTGAGACAAAGTTGTCGTCCCTACCACCAGCATATCATATGCTAATATAATCCTATTGAGTCTCTTCAAAGATACAAAACACAGGATGGGATATTGGAAGAAACCGCCATTCAAAGCCCATAATGGAATTTCCTCCTATTATGTCTGTTTCATGTTATTAGTTTGGGCCTGAAATCTTTTCTGCATTATTCCTCGGTAATACAACTGAAATGCAAGGGACTTCCTTGCCCCGTTTTATTGAACAGCATCTAAATACCAACTTCGCACATGCCATGAGTATCCAAAGCCATTATTTTACCAAGGGAGAGATAAAGATGGAATAGGTAATATGCAAACCTCAGAAGTCATCCTGTTTATATCCACATAAAATATAATAAAACTGCAAATCTCTCATTTATTTCATGCCAGCAGCGTGCCAAGTAATAGACCAAACATGTGCGGCTCACCGGCTCATGTACCACTTACAATTCTATAAGGTTGCCGTCTTGCACCCACTTTATAAGAGGAGCCTGAGGTTCAGAGAAGACCAGTAACTTGCCCAAGTTCACACAGCAAACGTGGAGGGGTGTCAGCAGAGCCCAGGGGCCATCACTGGTGGAGGCAGGAGGGAAATGTGTGTCTGTCTGGCTTCAAAGCCTGGTACTTCCACCCTGCCATGCTGCCATACCCTATCACACACAAACTTCTCACGTGGCCACATGTGAGGTGGTTATAAGCACAAACTCTGGCCCCAGCTGCCTGGGTTCAAATCCCAGATCCACTACATATCACTGTGTGACCTTAGACAAGTTAATTAACCTCTCTGTGCCTTAACATCCTCCTCTGTAAGTGAGGTAATACAGTTCCCACTTCAGGGGATTTGGGGAAGAATTCCATGAGTTAATGTAGGAAGCATTTTGCAGGGGGACTGACACCTAGTAAGGGCTTTATTGGTTTTAGCTACTGGGAGTGGGAGTATATCGGCCCCATCCCTCCCCAGCCAATGCCCATCCAGAGCCTCTCTGAGAGGTAACACCTCTGGCTACTTTATTCATGAGCCAATTGGTCCATCTGGGACCAGACTCCCTCCCCACCCCAGGCCCCAGCACCCAGCCAAACCCAGGTGGCTAGATGCCTACGTCATGTTCCACTGAGGCCACTGGCATCCAGCAGACTCCATGCCCACTCTGCAGGCGCCGGGCTGGCAGCCACTCTGCTCCTCTGCCCCCATCCCTTGCATTGCAGGCACAGCGCCACTGTGGAAAGCCACAGCCCACGGTCAGTGCTGACCCCCAAGATTCTGCTCCTTCGGGTGCTCGTGAGAGACGCAGAGCCTGCAGACGGAGGGGCTGCGTTGACACCTACGCCTGGCACGTGGCACAAACCTAATAAATTCTGTTTGGGCGAACACAACCACGCAGGGAAGACTCACGTGCTTCAAGTCTGGGCATGGGCTAGGCTAAGATTAATTATGAAATAAAATTATAACAATGAGAAGCAGTGACAGCCGAGGTGACTCCAGCTTGGTGAAGTGTTCCCACGCCCCCGCCCCCGGGATTCTGCCGTGTCCCTGGTGGCCAGTGCTGCCTGCCAGCAGCAGTCACACTGGGGAGGGGGACTCTGAGGCTCCAAGAGGCGATGCAACCCCCACCACCGCACAGCGGGTTTCTAGGGCGTGCAGACGCTTTCCTTCCCATGGCCAGTGGCCCTGCCCTGCCTGGAGATGCCACCGCTGAGTCCATACCTGGGTTTCCAGATTCTGCACAGACAGGCCCAGGCAGTCCAGCTTCTGGTTGACAAAGTTCACGATGGCCTAACCAAGGAAGAACAAGGGCCTAGCACACCGCAGGTGTGGCACAAGGACCCGTGATTCCCTCCTACGGCGCAGGTAGGCAGTGGGTGGGGTGGGCGGCCCGGGAGCCGCTGAGAGGTTTGATCTCTCCTACCTCTTTCACTGCGTTCACTTTCTCCGGAGCCAGCTTAAATAATTCATCAAAGACGTCGTCTGCAGACACAGATCCAATAAACACCTCATTACGATGCTATTATCTTTGTGCCAAACAGGGAATTTTTTTTCCACAAAAGTTTCTTAGAATAACCAGTCCAGAGGGAGCTGCCGTTTTAGATCATGGTTCTCACATAAAACAGACTTGGATTTGAGTCACTGCTCCCCTGGCCATGTGCCCCCGGAGGGATTCGCCTTCTCTCTCTGTGCCTCCCTAGCTGGAGTCGTTGCAGAGATGGAATTGTTTGATAGCAGGTAACACACCTGGCCCAGCAGCATGATGACTGAGCACACAGTAGGACTTCAGTATACAGCCGCTCTTCCTGCAGCTGACACTTGTTACCGTGTAGGCACAGCTGCATCCCTTCCTCTGCCAGCTGGCCCTCCCTCCTCCCAGGGCCCTGCTCGCCTCCCCGGGGCCACAGGAGCTGCTACAGGTGGGTGATGGGGCCAGCCTGGGGCTGACGCTAGTTCCGTGAGTCCCCTCCCCTGGCTTTTAAATTGGCTGAGTAAGGACTCTTCCCCACTGCCCACCCCCTCACCCCACCCTGCCCCACCCCCAAGAGTGTCTGAATCTGCTGCCTGCAAAAGGCCAGCTCTCTCAGCAACTCAGTCACTCCCTTGGAGTCTGGGAACAGCGGCTCAGGCCCTGGGATCCAGCCTTGGGTGCCCCATGGCTAATGCCCTTTGTGCACAAGCTGGGTTCCTGCTATCTGCAGCTAACACTCCTCCCATGGGAACACTGGTCCTTGGGCACCAAATACACAGACTGGCTTGCCTGTGGCTTCTTCTGCCACTCAGGAGCTGCGTGACTCTAAGCAAATCACTGTACGTCTCTGTGCTTCAGTTCACTTGTTCGTGAAGGGGGGAAAGTGGCACCAAATAGCATCGTGCACGTTAAAAGTCCCCTAAAACCAACTGACAATCGACATGGTGGAAACATCAGTGGTCAGGGAAATCACATCACTGAAGGAGCCAGGAAAGGAGAGGCAAATGTGTCATCAGATGATCCCGTTCTGTACCCTTTCTTTGCCCTGTGACTCCCACTTCATGCTGCCACCTGCCCCAAATACTGCTCCCTGGGCAACCCTTCATGTCCTCAGGCTGCCCCTCCCCCTGCAAACACAGATTCCCCAGCCAGCCCTCCTTGCCCCCGACTTCTCCTTTCCCCCAAAACTCCGTCTCCATCAGCCCCCATTCTCAGAGGCTACTTACTTTCCTGGCAGGTTAGTATCTCTGTCTCTGCAGGTGAGGTGCTCCTCAGAGCATCCCTGCCCACATAGCTATGTGTCTAAGTGGGGAGGGTACAGGGAGAAAAAAATAGTGTTGGGATGGACAGATATGGGTGAATAGATAGGTGGTTGGATGTGTAGACAGATGAATGGATGGATGGATAGGTGGGTGGGTGGATTGATGAATGGATGGATGGATAGGTGNGTGGGTGGATTGATGAATGGATGGATGGATAGGTGGGTGGGTGGATTGATGAATGGATGGATGGATAGGTGGGTGGATGGATGGATGGGTGGCTGGACAGATAAATGGAACGGATGGATGGATAGATGATGGATGGGTAGGTGGATAGATGAATGGAAGCATCAATGGACGGATGGAGGGATGGAAAAATGAATGGGTGGGCGGATGGATAGGTGGATGGATGGATAGGTGGGTAACTGGATGGATGGATGATGGATAGGTGGGTGACTGGATGGATGAACGGATGGACGGATGGATGAATGGATGGATGGATGGGTAGGTGGATGGTTGAATGGAGGCATGACTGGATAGATGGAGAGATGGATAAATGGATGGGTGGGTGGGTGGATGGATAGGTGGGTGACTGGATGGATGAACGGATGGACGGATGGATGAATGGATGGATGGGTAGGTGGATGGTTGAATGGAGGCATGACTGGATAGATGGAGAGATGGATAAATGGATGGGTGGGTGGGTGGGTGGATAGGTGGGTGACTGGATGGATGAATGGATGGACGGATGGATGAATGGATGGATGGGTAGGTGGATGGATGAATGGAAGAATGGGTTGATGGGTGCAGAGATGGATAAATCAATGGATGGATAGATGGGTGGGTGGATAGGTGGGTGAGCAGATAGATGAATGGAAGAAAGGATGGATGGATGGATGGATGGATGGATGGATGGATAGATGGATAAATGGATGGATGGATGGAGAAGAGCTGGCCAGACTACTGACAAAGGAATGGATGAATGAAAGAAGTAACGACTAGATAAATCAACTGATTGGCGAACAGCTGTGTCAGAAGGGCAGAAGCCATATTACTGCCCACTCACTACTGAGCACTACCCACATGCTGAATGCACTCACAGATGATCTCCTTTAACCCTCACTGCCAGTGTAAGAGGTTAGGGTCAGGGTCAGGGTCAGGGTCATTTTATAGATGGGGACACTGAGGCATGGACAAGTTAAGATACTTGCCCAAGCTTAAGTGGCTCATGAGTGGGAAAACTGGTGTTTGAACCCAGGCCACTGACTCCAGAGCCCACACACTCAACGGACTCCACCATCACTGCCCATGTGAATTATAAACTCCTCTCCCTCCAGAGACAGTATCATGAGAAGGAGCAGCCAGCTCCGTGGATGGACAGACAGGAAGAGGGACAAATGAATAAGAATGAGGCTTGAGATACAAACAGCAGGCGACGAGGAAATGAGAGAATGCTCAGCAATTAACCAACCCTGCATCAAGACTCATCTGCATTAACACACATCAGATAGGAACAGATTTCCAAAAATTACGAGAGTACTCACTCGGAGGCTGGTCCTGGTCTGTGCTACAGGAGAGGTTGAAGGGGATGGAGAAAGCAAACAAATGGTTAAGAAAGAAGCCCTGCAAACCTGCAGTCTCTCAACATGACAAACATCAGTGCCGGCAAGGTTGCAAAGAAACTGGCATGTTCGTGGTTATTCTGGCAGCTTTGTAGGTAGGGCAGGTAACAGAAAGGGTCTTTGTGGGAGGCAAACAGCAGACATAGGTTCATGCCCTTCTCTGAGGCTTCCACACCTAGAAACATTTGGATTTTGCTGGTTTTGTGGTTCCTGCTTTGTTCTAAGGGAGATCCATCACATATATCATAAAGTACAAAAGCTGTTAAGTTTACAGCACGTGCATTTTACCTAGTAAGGGCTTTATTGGTTTTACTACTGGGAGTGGGAGTCTATCGGCCCCATCCCTCCCCAGCCAATGCCCACCCAGAGCCTCTCTGAGAGGTAACACCTCTGGCTACTTTCTTCATGGGCCAATTGGTCCATCTGGGACCAGACTCCCTCCCCACCCCAGGCCCCAGCACCCAGCCGAACTCAGGTGGCTAGATGCCTACGTCATGTCCCACTGAGGCCACTGGCATCCTGTGTGATCACCGTCCCTTACATGATGCAGAACCTCCCGCCCCCTGACGTGTCCTCCCTTCCATCCCTCCCTCCTAGCACTGATCACGGCTGTGACTGCTCTTGCCTTCTATTGGTTTTGCCTGCCCTGGAAGATCATGTAACTGAAACCATGTCGCATGTTCTCTTTTGGGTCTGGCTTCTTTCACTCCATTTTTACTGTTTTTGAAAAATTTTTCTTTGATTTTTTTGGTCAAGTTTTTAGCTTCACCCTACCCCATAGAAAAGAAGTTCTGTAGGTCCAGGGCAGGCCAAATCCCTCCAACCAGAACCCTCCAGAAGAGAGCTGGGCCCCACAGGGCAGAGCCCAGCAGCCTATGACAGGGACCCAGGCTCAGCACACAAGGCCAAGGCTGCCAGGAGGGCAGACGCCATGTTCCGTCCATACCACTCCAGCCCCAGCCAAGCCTTAAGTGGACAGCAGCCCTCCCCAGCCAGCATCTTGGCTGCATCCCCATGAGAGATCTTGAGCCCAAGCACCCAGCTGAGCTGCTCCTGAGCTCCAAGCCCACAGAAACTGTGAGGAGAATCTATGTTCACTGTCATTTTCAGCTTCAAAGTTTTGGGGGAACTTGTTACTCAGCAATCAGTAACTAATACAAGAAGTCAGAAATCCTGGGCACCACCCACAGCTGCCATGTCACCAGCGAGGCACCCAGCAGCTGTGCCCCAGCTGTGCCCTGAGCCTGAGCCAGCGCCACATGGAAGACAGCAAAGGTGGACCTGCTGGCAGCCTGTGTCGCCCCAGGGGCCCACCCCTCTCCAGGCCCCACCTGTTCTCTGCAGCGCGTGGACTGAGTGTTCTGGGCAGCTCTTACGTGCCAACCTTAGACTCCTGCACAGAATCCAGAACCTTTAAAGTTGGATGGCATTTGGCCTGACTCCCTCAATTAATGGAGAGAAACTGGAACCCAGGGCCACACAGGCATTGAGAACCCACAGTGCTGGGCCTGGCTCAGAGGACCTGGTGGTCCAGCAGGACAGAGCCTAGACCAAGAACAGGAAGCGTGCCCTGACTTTGACGGTAGGAGGGAGACAGCATGGAAGGCATATCGGGTAGGAGGCTGGGGGCAAAGGCTCAGGCAGGCCTGAGCAGACCCAGTCACAGGACCCGAGGGGACAGTAGGGACCCAGGAGGGAGGGGGAAATTGGCAGCTGAGAACGGGGAGGCTATTCAATGCGTTTTTCTAGAAGGTCTTGATTCCTCTTAGGCTCCCTCGGCCCAGCTTCCTCCTCAAGCCACAGCTCCATCCAAGCATAGCCCAGTCCTGGGTTTGAATCCCAGTTCTGCCCCCCCGACCCCCCATGAGGCCCTGGACACTCCCCTGCCCTCTCCGAGCTAAAGAAAACTGACCATGCCTCACTGCACTTTGTGAGGGCTAAAACATTCAGACCAACGCCTGCGCATAATAGGCTTTCAGTGAAAGTTAGGTAAGGGAGGGGAATCTAATTTCCTGCTGATAGCCTCCTCCCAACTAAAGGGGAAAGCTGTCTGGACAAGACAGGGCCGGCTGCAGAGTGAACAAGCCAGGCAGCAGCAGGTGGCCATGACCCAGTGGGCAGGGAGCAGGATGGCCACACCCCCAGTGGGCAGGGACTAGGACTGCCAGCCCCAGTGGGCGGGGAGCAGGATGGCCACACCCCCAGTGGGCAGGGACTAGGACTGCCAGCCCCAGTGGGCGGGGAGCAGGATGGGTGGGGAAAAGGATGGCCACATCCCAAAGCAGGATGCCCACACACCCCAGTGGGTAAGGAGCAAGATGGTCAGCCCCTGGCCATGCAGGGGCCTCTAAGACTCTTACAGCTTCGCAAAGACAGGCACATCCTGCTCACACTAGAGAGACTAAGATTCACTGGGCCCTGTGCCCCAAACCCAGGGGCCCCCACCCCAGAGAACAAAGCAAGGTGGCTGGGAGGGGTCAGGCAGGGACCAGGGTGGAGGCCGGAACAAAAGGGGTCCTGAGTGCTACCGTGGGATGGAGGGGTCAGCGCAGGCTTCTCTGGTCTGAGGGAAAGCCAGAGCGTGGAGCCCTTCCCGCAAAGGTCAGGCAGATCTGCCCCGGCCCCCGCCCTGCCCCGTCCACTGCTGAGCCCCAGCCCCAGCCATGCACCCTTGTCCTTCCCTCACCTGCATTCGGTGAGCTGCTCCATCAACTTCTCTGACTTCAGACCACTCTTGGTGCTCTAAGAAAGATAAGGAGGGAAGAAATTAAATAATCCAGAAAGCTCGGGCCCAGAGCGGTCCCAGGGACCCGTTTGCTCTGCCTCACCCCCTCCTCAGGATGGCCTCCTGACTTGTCTTTCCTCCCCAGGAGTCCTGAGGTTGGGGCTGTGTCTGCCTCGCTCCCCGAGGTGTCCCCAGAGTCTCACGGCGGGAGGAGGGCAGTATCCATGAGCATGTGGCTGTGAGCAAATGAATGGTGAAGGAGTGAATCAATGAAGTCTCCTCTGAGTTATGTCGGCAGGACAAAGCCACACAACTGCTCGGTAGGGAATTATAATCAATGGTTTTAAAACCCAGGAGAAGGCAGCGTGCAGTGGCTCACGCCTGTCATCCCAACACTTTGGGAGACTAAGACAGGTGGATCACTTGAACTCAGGAGTTTGAGACCAGTCTGGGCAACATGGTGAAACCCTGTCTCTACAAAAAACACAAAAAATTAGCCAGGTGCAGTGGCTCGCACATGTAGTCCCAGCTATTTGGGAGGCTGAAGTGGGAGGATCACTTGAGCCAGGGAGGCAGAGGTTGCAGTGAGCTGAGATTGTGCCACTGCACTCCAGCCTCAGCAATAGAGCAAGACCCCATCTGGAAAAAACAAAAAACAAAAAAAAGGATAAATGACTTAGACTGGGTTTGGCCAAACTTGGCTTATTCTCTGGGGAGAGTCAGAGATACACCCTCAGACAGGAAGCCCCTATGCACCGGGAACCTGAGGCCAGGGTGGGACGGGGGATCAGAGGAAGGGAAGAGCCGGTGGGGCCCCCTACTGTGATGCTCAGAGTCTGTCTGGAGAGAGAAGCTGTGGATTCCCGGGTATTAACTGTAGCACAGGCAGGCCGCACACTAGACAGAGTATCTGGGGCAGGGGAAATCCAGAAAGGCTTCCTGACAGAGGAGAATGGGCACTGTCACAGCTGCCAGTTCTCTAACAAGAGATAGTGCCCTTGTGGTGAGAGCAGTGGTTTTGCCTCAGGGGTGTGAAGGCTCCCTCGTGGCCATGAACGGACGGCCACATATGGCTCAGGGATATGGCCTGACAGCCGCTGGCCCCAGCCTCTGCCAGCCAGATGCCCTCTGCTGAGGTCAAGAGAAGCTGGCCAGCCCTGGACTTCCTCATGCCCTCAGGTCTCTGCCAGACCCACTGGACTCTTTACAGCCCACCCCCAGCCCTAGACAGCACCCCGTGGTTGTCCTGGCAGGATTCTATTTCTCGGGGTTCCCTGAAACTCACCCTGGATCAGCCCACCCCAGCCAGCACCATCCATGCAGGGCACAGCAATGCGGACTCAAGATGCTCAGCTTCTGCTTACAAATCCCTGGGGGCCCAGGCTGCTACCTCAATGGTGATGACCTCCACCTGGACGTTGGTTGGGAGGGACAGGTCAGGCTGAAAGCGCTTGGCCAGGGCCACAAGAAGGTGCAGGGTGGACAGCAGGTCCTTGTTGAAGATGGCTAGAAGGAAAGAAGAGACAGGTCAGGGTCCAGGGGGCCGCCAAGGCTTCTTCACCGTCACCACCACCACCTGCACACCAAGGAGGCCTGTGTCCAGCCTTCTGGAGAGCAGAGATCTGGAGATACATGTTCAGAACCTAAAAATCATCATACTTCAGCGGGGCACGGTGGCTCATGCCTTAATCCCAGCACTTTGGGAGGCTGAGGCGGGTGGATCATGAGGTCATGAGATTGAGACCATCCTGGCTAATATGGTGAAACCCCGTCTCTACTAAAAACACAAAAATTAGCCAGGGTGGTGACATGCACCTGTAGTGTCAGCTACTTGGGAGGTTGAGGCAGGAGAATTGCTTGAAACTGGGAGGCAGAGGTTGCATGAGCTGAAATTGTGCCACTGCACTCCAGCCTGAATGACAGAACAAATCCCCTTCTAAAAAAAAAAAAAAAAAAAAAAAAATCATCACACTTTGCCTCCATCTTCCTACTTCTTAGAATATAGCCCAAGGGTACAGTCTACCTTGTGGAAGGAGCTCTGGCCACAAAGATGGTCACTGTAGACTGTTCACAACTGGAAGCACCGAGTGACCTATGGTAAGGCCCTGGCTGAGCCATCATTAGATTTCAGCTCAATGTGACTTAATTCAGGGTTGATTTCATCAACATCAATCACTGAATGTGAGACCTTAAAAGAAGCAGATGCAGGAGCATGTGTCCCAACAAAAGCTGGGTTCGGAGGGTGACTCTGTTCAGCCCTCACCGCCCAACCTGGGAGAAGCTGCTTAACTCTTCAGCCTCGCTGTTCTCATCTGGGATAGGGGACGACACAGAGAATGGATGGGAAGGAAATCTGTGCCAAACTGTGAACCGGGTGGGGTAGGGAAATCTTGGCGTTTGGCACACTCTTTTTTGTTGCTGTTTCTTTGATATGAAGTCTTGTTCTTGTCACCCAGGCTGGAGTACAATGGTGATATCTCGGCTCGCTGCAACCTCCGCCTCCCGGGTTCAAGTGATTCTCCTGCCTCAGCCTCCTGAGCAGCTGAGATTACAGGTGCCCGCCACCACACTTGGCTAATTTTTATATTTTCAATAGAGATGGGGTTTCACCATGCTGACCAGGCTGGTCTGGAACTCCTGACCTCAGGGGATCTGCCCGCCTCTGCTTCCTAAAGTGCTGGGATTACAGGCGTGAGCCGCCGTGCCCGGCCAGGCACACTCACTTTTTGTACAAGCAGGCCCTGCAGATATTCCAGTACTTGAAGGAAATGGGGGTGTGGATGGGCAGACCACAGTACTTGGAGCTCAACAGTGGCTGTCATTCTCCATGAGACCGTTTGCGACCCTGGGCTGCTCTTTGCTGCAGTGACACCCTTTGGGGCACAGACGTGTCCCGGACCACTGGCTGCTCAGCCAGATCCCTGCCTGTAGCTCCCTGAGGCTTCCCCCTCCTTCCTCACTCCCAGGTTGTGCCCCTGCCGTGGGGAGGATGAGCGCGCCTTCCTGGTGCATGAGACGCCTGGAGCAGAAGGGCCCCGGTGGCCCCGCGCTCCCCCGGGGTGGCTTCGGTCCACATACTCTCCACGCTCCACTTGGCCTGCCGCTCCTCCAGCTGCAGACTCTGGTTCACGGCCTCCAGCACCACGGTGAGCTTGTGCCTCTGGCTCGCGGCTGTCAGGGCGATGTCCTCTGCTTCCAGTTTGAGCGCTGCCAACTTCTCTGGAGGCAGGAGAGGGTGGTGAGGGCCCTTGGCTGGGGGCAGCCCAGAGAGCACCTCGGGGCCTCTCCAGGAGGCTGAACCTGCCTGGTGCTTCACAGAACATGGGCCTGGAGAGGCCGGGAGGAGGCTCTGAGCGTGAACAGCCCCTGCAAAGCCCCTTGGAGCTTTCCAGACTGAGGAGGAGCTTGGACTAACTTTCAGAGCCTCCCTTTCCTTATCTGTGAAACGGGGATATTAACAGCACCGGTTGTTCTCAGAATGAGCTGCACCTGCTACATGGGCCATGCCTGGCAGTGCGAGCACAGGTGTGGGATGGTATAGCCACCTGCAAAGAGCTCAGCAAATACTGTGGAGGCTGCCCCCAGGCTAAGTGCCAAGGACATGGCATCGGGCCTATCCGTGGCCTCCAAGACCACAGTTTTGTGCAAAAGAGATGGACAGACCAACATGACCACACAAGGGGAAAGGGAGGGCGACTCTGGGGCTTGTGGGGAACACTTGCCTGGGGCCAGGAGGAGGCCCTGAGCATGAACACCCACTGCAAAGCACCTTGGAACTTTCCAGACTGAGGAGGAACACGGCAGAAGGAGCCTAGCCCTGCCCCAGCCCCCCAAGACTGCCCATTTTCTCTCCAGCAGCCTGGGGCAGCTGGAGGGCAGGGACTGTGGGTTCTTTTGTTACCTCCCAGCACCTGAAAATAGCAGGTACTCAGTGAGTGTTGGAGATGCAGTGTGGTGTGGTGGAAGGATCCCAGGCGTCAGAGCCCCAGCCTGAGCCCCAGCTCGGCCCCCTCACTCGTGGGCCGCAGATAGCGCCCCCATCTCCCCAGCCCAGGCCCATCTAGAAAGTAAGACAGGTGTCCCTAAACCTCGGACCATTGTGGGGAGTGAGGGAGGGAGCCCGCCTGTGGGGCTGAGGCCCAGGCAGCCCCAGAAACAGCCACTTACGGAACAGGTGGTGCAGGATGAGCCCGTCGAACATGTCCTCCTCCAGGCTGCGGACCACGATGTGCTCTGGGAGAAGAGTGGCGTTGATCCACTCCATCAGCACCTGCAGGCCCCAAGGGGACGACTTTTGGTGGGGGTGGGAACTTCTCATCTGGCCCCACACCTGGCTCAGAATGCCTGTCTCTCACCTGCCAACTCCTACCCATCCTTCAAGGCCCGCTCAAATGTCACCTCCACTGGGAAGCCCTCCTTGATCTCCCAGGCTGAGCTGGGGGCCTGCTCTGGGCTCCTGCAGACTCCCTGCTTCTCTCCGTCACAAACCTGAGCAGTGTGGGGCTGTCATTACCATGTGTGAGATTTTAGTACCAGGAAGTGGGGTACTATCATAGCAAATACCTAAAAATGGGGAGATAGCTTAAAGAAGGAAAAGAATTGGACAATGAACACTTGATAGAAAAAGCCTAGATTGCCCTGAGAGGTGGCCAGTAGACATATGCCCGTTAAGGTGCTCCTGGTGAGGTCCCAGGAGGAAATGGGGGGCACGACATTGGGCATGTAGACGGAGGTGGAGATTGGAGTGACACAGCCACGGGTCCAGAAGCCCAGGAGGCTGCAGCCATCAGAGCTGGGGGAGAGGAGGGGACATCAGCCCCCTGAGAGCCTCCAGGAGCCAATCCTGACAGCGCCTTGGCCGAGGACCTCTGGCCTGCAGCACTGTAACACAATACGTTTCTGTGGTTTAAGCCATGCAGTCTGCGGCCACAAGTTACAGTAGCCCTAGGAAGCTAATGCGGGGGTGCTGGTGCCCCGCCCACTCCTTGACTGGAGCCCACTAGCCCGGCTCCCACCTGCAGCTCTGCTGGAAGCTGTCCCCATCTGCTTGTGCTCAAAGGTCAGAGTGCCAGGGAATCAATGTCAAGGCCCAGCCCTTTCTCAGGGAGCAACTGTTCACTAAAGGTTGTCAGAAGATGGTGAATAAATACCCCAGCTCCGTCACCCCTCGGGCGGGAATGCTCTGAGCCTGCTCTATGCTGGCTCCAGGGTACCCAGCAGGCTTGAGCCCCTTTCCTCCCATGAACCCTGGGACAACCTCCCAACTCAACTACTGGCACCCAAATCCTTGTCTCAGGATCAGCCTCTGGAGGAGCCGAGCTGGGATGATGTGTCAGCATCCCCCCAGGTCTTCCAGGCAGGACCACGGATGGCTCTTCTCTGTGTCCCTATGCCAGATACAGGGCTGTGCCAGGTGTGCTGGCCAAAGGTGGGAAAGGCAATGGAGGGAGTGAGGGAATAGGAAGGAGGATGGAAAATGGTCCACAAAGCCTTTGGGTATGGAAGATGGATAGCCCAGGAGGCCTCCTTGGAGGAGGCAACAGAGAGAGGCCATGTGGAGACTGGAGACAGAAGCTGAGGGAAACAGAGGCCTGGAGCCCACCTGTGCCCAGCTGGTCCAGTGGCCATAGCAGCAGACCCATGACCAAGGAGAGAACTGAGCATGGGTGCCACAGGCCCACTGCCACTGTCCCACCAGTTCTCCTTCACCTTGGGCAGCCAAGCTGGGGAGGAGCGCAGGCTTAGGGGCCAGCAGCTCATGTCAAACCCCAGCTCCGTTACAGGCACCTGCGTGCCCCTGACAGATCAGGTCACCTCTCTAAGCCTCGCTATCTGTCCCATCCCCGGGATGTAGGGAATAATAGATTCGCCTCAAATCCCATGAGGTTGCTGGGATGGTGTATGTGAAGGCACACAGTTGGTGCTCAATACATGTTTTTACATGCAGGTTCTGTGGGTAACTTGCTTCTAGGGGCCTTTGGGGGTCGCCACCCCCCAGCCTGAGGTCAAGGAGTAGGGACATCCCGCTGTCCCCCACCCGTGGAGGCCACTGCCTGCTCTGCCCAGAGAGTGTGACCAGGGCAGTCAGGGCTGTGGAGGCTGCTGTACCTTTTGCAGTGCTTCAAATCTGGGGTCCTTCCGGGAAGTGGGTGGCAGGTATTTCTTCTTTCCTCCTGGAAGCAGAATGGATATAACAAGCACGTGGGGACTCTGTGGGGTGCTTGGCCACACTCCCTGCAGGTCACCCACGGAACGCAGCCCCTCAGCCAGCCCCGGGGCACTGGTCCTGCCACTTCCACCGCAGCACGCCTTCCCTCACCAGCACCAGCTCACCCTCAGACACTGCAGCATTTATATTTTGAGACATAAACTCAGAAGGGATTTCTTGATTGTTGGGAATTCAAAGTTAACTGGGCATCCTGTGTCTTATGTGGCAACCCTCCCTATTTAGGTAAAGTGAAACCCCAGCCAGAGAGGGGAGGCGGCGCCCAGGCTCACCAGGCTCTAAGGGGCTAAGGTGGGGCTTAGCCCAGGTCTCCCAGGCCCCTCCATGGCCCCTCTTGCAGTCAGACTCCTCAGGGTGGCCCTCGGAGGCCCGGCAGCTCCCCTTCTCCAAGGTCGGGCCAACAGCCACCCACATTTTAGACTCACAGAACCCACAAAATGTCAGGGCTGAGAACGACCTCTGAGATCAGCTAGTCCCAATGTACATGGGAGGAAACAGTCAGCAGTGGGGACTGTCTTGCCTAAATTCACAAAATGCGTTGTCTCTTATGTGACCCCAATAAAGGCTTTTCCTAGACATGCTGAAAACCTTAGAGAGCTACCCAGCCCCGTGTCTTCTGATGAAAGAGAAGGCAACAGCATCACGGGCTGAGGTGCCCAGCAAAGGGCAGGCTCTCAGCAAGTGCTTGGGCGAGTACGCGGGTGAATGAATGAACATGGTGCTGCTCCTTCCTGGAGCAGACTTCTTGTGACTTGAGTCATCCAATGTCCCAGCTCTGCTTGCCAGAACTTTAAGGATCTTAAATCAATTGTAACACAAAAAATAAATTATTATTATTACCGTAGTACCTAAGTTCTGCTATCCTAACTCAGCTGCTTTCCTCAGACACTTTACAATCTTCAGTGTTTTAAACACAGAATACCAGACGGTGAAGAAGTCAGCCAGGCAACTCGGGGTCTGACCTCCCACACCGGGGACCCTGTTGGCCCTGGAGTTCTCACTCCATAACATCTCCTTAAAAGGCAGCATTCAGGGCTGGGTGCCGTGGCTCATGCCTGGAATCCCAGCCCTTTTGGGAGGCCGAGGCGGGTGGATCCCTTGAGGTCAGGAGTTTGAGACCAGCCTGGCCAACATGATGAAACCCCATCTCTAGTAAAAATACAAAAATTAGCCAGGCATGGTGGCAGGTGCCTGTAATCCCAGCTACTCGGGAGGCTGAGGCAGGAGAATGGCTTGAACCTGGGAGGTGGAGATTGCAGAGAGCCGAGGTCGCAGCACTGCACTCCAGCCTGGGCAACACAGTGAGATTTCCATCTCAAGAAAAAAAATAAAAATAAAAAGGCGGTATTCACAGGACCTGGAGAAAGCCCCATTCCGCTCCTTTCCCTTAAATTATTCACACGTTTTGTCAGCATGCTTAGGTTTTCTTTTCTTTTTTTTTTTTTGAGATGGAGTTTTGCTCTTGTTGCCAGGCTGGTGTGCAGCGGCGTGATCTCGGCTCACCACAACCTCCACCTCCCGGGTCCAGGCCATTCTCCTGCCTCAGCCTCCAGAGTAGCTGGGATCACAGGCATGCACCACAATGACAAGCTAATTTTTTCGTATTTTTAGTAGAGACAGGAGTTTCACCGTGTTGGCCAGGCTGGTCTTGAACTCCTGACCTCAGGTCAGGAGTTGCCTGCCTTGGCCTCCCAAAGTTCTGGGATTACAGGGGTGAGCCACCGCACCTGGCTGTTTATGTTTTCATGGTTACATAAATTCCAATGAGTTCACCTAAACCCCTTTCCCACTGGGACATCTGGCTGCTTCCTGGCATGCTGCTGTTGGTCTGTTTCTTTCAAAGAACACAGGGACTGTGACAGCTCTGGGACCTGCCCCTGCCCTTCTTTTGAGCCTTCTTCTAGGAAGGAGGTTTCAGGGACTGTGGCCGTCAGCTCCCGAAAGGGCTCACAACACAGAGCTTTGCTGAAAGGGTGACCCACACTTGTTGAATTGCTCCATCCTATGCTCACCCCGCTTTTGCTTTTGAAAGAGACTCACACATGTGAAGGAAGCACATCAGGAGCCCCACAGCCTGCAAAGCATCACTGCGTGGTGGGCATCGCTGCATGGTGGTCACGGAACCTCAGTTCTGGGAACCTCCTTGGGCTCACAACCCCACTCCACCACTTGCTAAGAGTTTCCTGCTACTGTGGCATGTCACCCCTTGTCTCTCAGTTTCCTCATCTGTATAAAGCAGGCACTGATGGCCACCCTTGGGAATAAATGAGTTGCTATAGGTAAGAGGTGCTGGTGGGTAGGGGCACACAGAAGGCTCACAGGACAAGAGCAATCGATATTCACTGTAATTCATTGTAATCCGCACCATCTCTCACCTGGAGAGAGGAGGTTCTGGCTCCTCAGAAGGTTCCAGGAGGAGTTGGGCTGAGCATAAGGTGGAAGGCGGAGGCAAGGATGGGCAGAATTGGGCACTCAGCTGACAGCTGGGAAGGTACTGCACATCCCAGGCATGGCCAGGCTTGCTCTTTTGCCATGCAGACCCTCACCCTCCGCCCTCAGACCCATCCTGGCACACACCTTGTGGGAGCTCCTCCTCTGCTGGGGGCTCCACTCCCTTGGGGAGCTGCAGCAGGTCATACAAGGACTCCAGCTCCATCGCCTGCCTCCAAGCCTGTACGGAGAATGTGGGAGAGGGTGTCATGGTCCGAGAAGCCTCAAACTCATGTCCTCTAAGCCTAGAGGCACAGAAGGAGGGTGGAAGCCGGGCTCCGGGGACATGGCATTGCACCAGCCTAGGCAGGGGTACGGGCCCTGTGAGAAAGAGGCCTTGAGCCCGCCCTCACTGGGTGATGGGGTAGAAAAAGGCACAGGGGCTGAGGACACAGCTGAGCAAAGGCTTGGTGGGGATGTGGTCCTTCCTCAGGCAGGTGCAGAGCAGCCACCCGTCACCATCCTGCGGCCCCTACCCTCCTATCCATGCACCCCCACCCTACCCCAGACATCAGGACAAAGGGGGTACAGCTCACTCCTCAGAGCTTGTCGGGATGAGCTCAAGGGGAACCTTCCCGGCTGGCCTGTGTGGGGCTGGCTGGGGTGAACACGCGGAAGGTGACATCTCCCGTCCCATAAACCGGAAGGCTCAGGGTTGACAGAGGCCCTGTTCATCTTCCTCATCCTCGTTACAGGCAGAAGGCTGGGCTCGCCATGTGCCGACACGGGCAGATCCAGAGGCCACCCCAGCCTCCTTCCTGTCCCCTGGCCCACTTCCTCTCCCCCGGAGCCTTCGCCAGCTCGGCTGGCGGCTTTTGGCCTCCTCCTTCCTCCCTCTTCAGCCCCCGGTCTTCTCGGTGTTTTCAAACTCAGTCAGACATCGGGGGGGGGGGGCGGGTCACATGGCAGATGTTGGTGTCCAGAGCAGGGAGCCCCCAGAGCTGTGGGAGATGGAGGCATTTGCTCGGCCTAGCCACCTGTGTCAGACCAGCAGCCAACCTGGGGTGGGGGACGCCGGACTCCATCCTGGCCTGCAGCGTGGAGGTGATGGGGAACACAGACAGTAGAACTGACTCCCAGTCCCTTAATCCCCAAGCTGAGGGCCATGGCCAGAGAAGACGAAAGTGCCCGGCCTGGGCATCAGGAAGCCCAGGCCCCAGGCCAGCTCCTCCTCACTCAGGCTGTATGACCTTGGGCAAACCCCCTGCCCTCTCTGGTCCTGATGTGTGCTTACAAGGAGGGCCTGGACTCGATGCTGCCCAAAGGGATCAGCAGTCTGGGCAAGCCCCTTCCTGGCCCCGGGGCCTCAGTTTCTTCACCTGGAGACAGAGGGGCTGAAGTTCAGGGGCGGCAACTCCTCCGTAGAACAGGAAGGGAGGACGCTGACCAACCTCTGAGCAGGGGCAGCAGAGGTGCCGTGGGGACTCAAGGTCTCACTTTACCGACACCCTTCCCCAAGCAGCCTCCGCTGGGCCTGCCCGCCGGGGTCCTTCTCAGGTGGTATCTGGGCCCCTCCCTCCGTGTCCCCCAGCACTTAAGGATGGTGGCCCCAATACCAGAACTCACCAGGCCGCTTTCTCCACGCAGGAAACCCAAGGCCTACTGGGCACAAGGGGTGGTCCCTGGGTTCTGAATAAAAGCAGGTTCCGGGTTCTTGTGGGGGCTTCGGGGGCCAGGCCAGGAGGGGGGAGGTCGGCTGCTCACTTCCTCCAGGGCCCACTCAGCTGGCAGGAGCTTCCTCTCTGCGGCAGGGCCCGAGGGGGAGGACACTGTGAACGTGAAGCTGCCCCGGCCCGACAGACAGCTCTGCCCAGAGCTCCAGTGCCCGCCTCCTGCGCGGGCCCCCGTCCCACAGCACTTCAGTCCAGTGCTCCCACGTCTCTCCCTCTGCCCGCCTTCCACAACCACACCAGTTTCCACGCAGGCTTTTCACCTCCACAGTGGCAGCTACTTCGGCCAGAGCCTGGGGTTGACCCCCACAACCCACCACCAGCAGCAGCACCCGGTCAGCCCAGCGACCACACCCTGCCCCACGTGCTCCCACCTCCACACCCCGCCCAGCCCAGGCCCCTTCCTCTCCCGGACCGCGGGGGAGCTTCCTACCTGGACTCTGGGCTGCAGCCTTCCCCACACCCCCTGCCCGCCCCTGAGCTGGGTTCCCACAAACAGTCAGAGGAGTCACTTCCTGTCCCCACTCACTCAAACCACCAACGGCGCCCAATGGCTCTTAAAATAACACCCAGGGTGTGCAGCCCCGCCCATGAGCCCCAGCATGGGTGACCTGCATCCTCATCCCCTAACCTCTGTCCCCGCCGCAGGGGCCACCTGCCTTCCTGCCTCGGCCTCTTCACATATCCTGTTCCCTCCACCTAGAGGCCCCTGCCCAGTTTTCAACTTCCCTAATTGCCTTACCTGAAGTAGGTCCTCCCTATAATTCTTTTTTTTTGAGACAGAATTTCGCTCTCGTTGCCCAGGCCGGAGTACAATGGCACAATCTCGGCTTACTACAACCTCCACCTCCTGGGTTCAAGTGATTCTCCTGCCTCAGCCTCCCGAGTAGCCGGGATTACATGCGTGTGCCACCACGCCCAGCTAATTCTGTATTGTCAGTAGAGACGGGGGCTTCTCCATGTTGGTCAGGCTGGTCTTGAACTCCTGACCTCAGCTGATCCACTCACCTCAGCCTCCCAAAGTGCTGGCCCTCTCTGTGATTTTTTACCATAGCCCCTGGGGGTTTCCTTCATGGCACATAAACCCATGGCATTGTTGGCTCAGCCAGTCAGCCATCTGGTGTGTGACGCCTGCCTCACCACCAGACTTTGCCCCTCAGGAGCAGCAGCTGTGGTCTGCCTCTTCCGATCACGGTTACGTACCTGCGTCTAGAACAATGCCTGGCACAACGTGGGCTGGCTGAATAGAAATTGATGGTTGTTGTTGCCGAGGGGATAAGGAAGGCTTTCCAGAGGAGAATGGGGCCTTGACGGCTGCATAGGAGTTTGCAGTGGAAGAAGAAGGGGTGAGAACATGGCAGGTGGAGGGGACAGCATATGCAAAGGCATGGAAGGGTCCAAGAAGGAGAGATCTCAGCACAGTAGATAGAAAAACACTGTAGACCCCAGCTGGTCTCTCGGGCTGGAATCTTCACCATCCGGGCTGAAATGGTGAGTTTCCCTAGCAACAGGTGATGGGGAAGCGGTCCACCCCTTCTGACAGCTTAGGCAGAAAGTGGCCAGATCAGGTGGGAAGCAGGAGGCAGGGGTGGGTAAGAGCAGGAAAGTAGGGTGTTTGTAAAAAGTTAACTAAAAATGACAAAACGTCATACTGGTATTGTTGCTCATATTGACGGAGTCATTGGTGATGGAACAAACATCATTTTGGGCCTTCAAAAATGAAGGAAACCCCCATGAGGTAGGTACAATCATCACCCCCAAATCACAGAGGAAGAAACTGGGATGCACGATTCTGTCTCTGCCATTCTGATGTGCCTGTGCCTGACTGGGGCTCGTGACAGGCGGGGAGAGAAGCAACCATGCGGGACCGCTTTTGCTGGAGTGTGTGTAGCAGGCTCAGCCCAGCTCTGGACCCAGTGGTTCTGGTGGTGGCTTCTGACCCCGGATCACAGCCACACAGTTGTAGCAGTCACAGTCCTAGCAGCAAAGGGACAGCACGTTCCCATGTGCTGACTAAAGGCTGTTTGATAAGGGACAGCTGGGGCAGGGTTAAGGAAACTCAGAAGAGATGGTGCTGCACCCTGGCTAGCAACATGGGAGAGCTGTTACTTCTTCAAAACCTACAGGGCAAAGGAGGGGGTGGATGCCAGAGCCCGGGAACAGAATCAGCAGAGCTCTAAGAGGAGCTCAGGGTAGGAGCTGTGGTGACCCCGCAGAAGGGCACTGCTGGAGGAATACGTGCCCAGACCTCTCTGTCTTTTCCCTCCTGCCAGGGCCTCCCCCAGCCACATCCAGACAGAAGCCAGAGGTAAGAAGTGCCCTGCTGCAGTCCACAGACGTCAGGAGAGAAAACGGCAGGGAGTGGATTTGCAGAGGTGAACCTAAAGCATTCAACCCAGAAACCGTGCTTCTAGGGCCAGCCTCACGTGGCAGCGTCCTTCAGGAGCCAGCTCTGCAGTATTCTTCCGAGAGTCCTTGCTGGAGGCACTGCTTCCAGCCTTCCAACGGCTGGGGAATCGTACAGTTTCCCGTATTAGATTCCTTTCCCCTTCGAACAACTGAAGAGGCTCTCGTCATCGGCAACTGAATCCCAATTAACCTCGGATTTGTTACCAGAAACGATCGCAGGCAGCACATCCTCCAGGATGGGAACTGGGATTGGTTACTTGTTCTGGATGATTTAAAGGCAGTGGGGACCTAGTAACTGTTAGAGAATGGAGTTCTAACAGTTCATAGTATGTGATGGCAAAATAATTACCTGTCATCACTCAGAACTAAGTAGTATTGAATTCTAGCTCTGGCGGAGCTGTGGCTTCCATAGGCAATACAAGGACTGTGGGGTGAGCTTGTTAACATCACACCAAAGAGTTTAAGGCAAGAAAAGAACAGTCCCAGTGCTTTACATTCTCAGCTCAAGGTATGTTCAGAGTACAGGGAGTTCTCTGATAGCCCTCAAAGTCTCTCTTATCTCTTGGGTCTGCAGGGCTCCTATAGGTAAAAATCAGATGCAGAATCTAATCCTATGTGGTGTAGAGTTACAACAGACAACTAAATCCACAACTCATGAAGCAATGTGTGTAGAGCATTGTTTAGGGGAAGAGAAGCACTCTAAGAAGTGGAAGAGTTAACACGGAGATAAATCCAAGCACCCCCAAACCCCAATTAAGAAAAAGGCTGGGCGGGTGCGGTGGCTCATGCCTGTAATCCCAGCACTTTGGGAGGCCAAGGCAGGTGGATCAGGAGGTCAGGAGATCGAGACTATCCTGGCCAACATGGTGGAACCCCATCTCTACTAAAAATACAAAAATTAGCTGGGCGCAGTGGCAGGCTCCTGTAATCCCAGCTACTGGGGAGGCTGAGGCAGGAGAATTGCTGGAACCCAGGGGGTGGAGGTTGCAGTGAGCCAAGGTCACAACACTGCATTCCAGCCTGGGCCCCAGAGTGAGACTTCATTACAAACAGCAACAACAACAAAAGGCACAGATAGGAGGGAATTATTCCAGCCTTTTTTTTTTTTTTTTAGAGACACAGTCTAAAATATATCTATGCAAATATACCTAACACTACTGAACTGTACACTTAAAAGTAGTTAACAAAGTGAATTTTATGTTATGTGTATTTTAACCACAACTAAGAATTTTAAAAATAATAAAATAAAAATAAATACATGGCAGGGATCATATCACTTTAGGGATAATATCTCTAAATACTTCAGAATGTTTCTTCTAAAAACAAATACATTCTCCTGCATAACACAGTACCATTATGACACCTAAGAAAATTAGCATGGATAGAAGGTTTTCTAATATTCCATCCACATTCAGATTTCACCAAGGCTTCAAAAAGTATCTTTTACAGCTGCATTTGTTTTTTTTTTTTACTCCAAGATCCATCCATTTACTCCAAGAGGCATCACCTATCACATGTGATTGCATTTGGTTTTCGTGTCTCTTTAGAGCCCTTTAATCTAGAACAATCTTCCCTGACATGAACATTTTTATTAGCATCCAGGTGAGCTGTCCTGTAGAATCTACCCCCTCTGTCAGTCATTTCCTGGTCTGCTTCTGTGGACCTATTTTTCTCTTGATTGTGGGTCACATTTTCCTGCTTCTTTGTATGCGTAAGAACTTTTTGTTGAATGCTAGACATTAAATTTTTATGTTGTTGGATCCTGAATTTTGTTGCATTTCTTTAAGAGGTGTTGGAATTTTTCTGGCAGAAATATTCTTTTGGTGTCTGTTTTTAATAAGCTTAACCTCCTCAAGCTCTGACCTTTGGCCTCTCAAATCAGTGAGAACTGGCTCGGTCTGGGTCCCCCTCACTGCAGCATAGCCCAGGAATGATGTCCAGGCAGAAAGCCAAGGCAAGGGAAGGGCTCACCTCACTTGCCACCCTTTTCTTGGGGATAACAGACCTGACTCACCTCTTAACATTTTGCTTTCACAGTTTTGAACTCACAGAAACGCTGCAGGAATAGTGCAAAGAGTTGCTGTGTGTATTAGTCCGTTTTCATGCTGCTAAAACAGACATGCCCAAGACCAGGTAATTTATAAAGGAAGACAGTTTAATGGGCCCCAGTTCCACATGGCTGAGGAGGCCTCCCAATCATGGTGGGAGGTGAAGGGAAAGCAAACTCATGTCCAATGTCTGAAAAGTGTTTTCTGTGTTTTGTGGAGGTTTCTAGTTATTCCTGATGGAAAGGAAACTCCAAAAGTGAAAACTCTTTCCTCATAAATATTGATTAGAAAGAAGAGTTACATTTTTTAGTGTGCAAATTTGATAAACACTATATTAACTAAGTAATATGTATTTTTTCAAAATAGAAACAGTGTCTCACTCTGTCACCCAGACTGGAGTGCAGGGGTATGATCACAGCTCACTGCAGCTTCGAACTCCTGGCCTCAAGTGATCCTCACCCCCATCAGCCCCCTGAGTAGCTGGGACCACAGGCGTGTGCTCACATGCCCGAGTAAATAACCAACATTAACATCATAAGAAATAAGACCAATCAACATGACACGTCTTCTGGTAATGATGGGCTGAGAAGGACACATCGCTTCTGTCAAAAATGCGTGACCTGAATCTAATCACGAGGAAAATACTAGACCAATCCAAGCTCCAGGACATTCTAGAACACAACTGGCTTGTATTCTCCAAAGAGTCAAGGCTATGAAACATAGGGCAAGACTGAAGGGCCACTCCAGACTACAGGAGGCTGAGAAACAGGCGCCCCCCACC